CTCTTCAGAAGATCAGCAACCTCTAGAGTGGACCACAATGTGCATCTTCCAACGCTTCGAGACCTATTTGATGAGGACACTCCCACTCCCTTAGCAGACGAGTAGCTTACTCCAGAGGAAAAGGCCATCAACCCACACCGATCTCATCTTCAAAAGCTTCGACATGGGAGAAAATTATGCAAGGATGACAAGACAAAGATAAAATGAAACTTCATTCAAGCTCCGTCCCACACAGCCCCATTTCACACAGGGAGATTCCAGATCGTCCGCCACCACTTCAGACTCAATATTTACCCTCTTCTTGGGTCAGGGAGCCTCCCACCATACGCACTCCCACCACTGATGCCCACATCGATCCAATCTCTGCCCCTCTTCGTAATCCCAGTATAACATCCCACAGCAAGAATCCTGATACTCTGAACATGAAAAGTTAAAGACAATGCCGCGTCCTCATCCCTTAGTTGTGCTTTATCTTTGACCTTTGGAGTTAATCCAATTTCTTGGCACATGTTGCAATCTCAGGTGGATGTTTATTCACCTTTGACCAAAACCCATGAATCATTTCATCTTGGCATTCTTCAAAGCCCATTGGCTCTCAAGGCCAAAAATTCCAAAGACCCTGATCTCCCCTCTCTAAAGGAATCTCTAATGGGACCACATGCAGACCATTTCTGGCAGCAATGGACAAAGAAAATGCCAGCTTGAAGTCAAAGGGACTTGTCACATCGTACAGCGTTCTCCTATGCCCTCACACCTAAAGGCGGTTCCTGGAACATGGTTGCAACGAATTAAGAGTTTACCAGACGGACAATTAAATCAGATCAAATCTAGATGGTTCTGCATAGGAGACCTTCAGTCCTAATGAAGCTCGCTAACCTCCACTTGTGTGGCCCACCGTTAGAGCCGTTCTTCTTCTTCCAGCCTGCACATGATGGAAATCGAGACAATTGATTTTACTTCTGCTTTCTGTCAAAGCCCCCAACCTGTCGACCAGCCACTGTACATGGAATTGCCTCCATACTATCGACCCAAAGGCTATGAAGGGCAGGACTTTGTTTTGAAACTTGACAAGTCCATCTATTGGCAGACCGATTCACCTAATTATTTTATGAGCATCTATTTCGCGGTATGATCCAACTTTGTTTCTAAACCTCGGCAGCAGATCTATGTTTGTTTATTCATAACCCATGTTTGTTTATTCAAAAGGAGCATCAACTCATGGAATTAAATTATTGTGATTACCAAATCTGGCTCAGTCCGGACAATGCACTGATTGAGTCCTATGTTGCGCAGCTCCAGAAACTTGGATATGACCTCACCATGAAAGAAAAAGGTGACATCTTGTGATTCCTCGGCATTAATTTCGAAAGACAGGGAGACAATGTTGAGCTTACTCAAAAAGGGCTCATCAATGAAGTCATCGAATATACTGATATGTCTGACGCTAGCAAAGAAGCTTTCTCCTGCCGCCACCGTTCCTCTTGGAGCTGACAAACTGGGGCCCCATTTGAAGAAGAATGGAGCTATCCAGCTGCATTTGGAATGCTTCTTATATTGCGTCGAACACTCTCCCAGACATCACATTTAGTGTGCACCAGGTGGCACGATTCAGTCACAATCCCAGTCATTCCCATGCTCAAGCAATCATACGTATCATTCGGTATTTAATTGGCACAAGTGACAAAGGCGTTTGTTTTAGCCCTAAACTTGATCAGGGACTGATTGTTGGTCGAAGCTGACTTCGCCGGATTGTATGGATATGAGGATGAACAGGATCCCGTGTCCGTCAAGTCTCGCACTGGATTTGTCCTGACTCTGTTTTGGGTGCCCTATTATCAGGTCCAGCAAGCTACAGATGAAATTACTTTGAGCTCCACTGCTGCTTGAGTATGTTCTTCAGCATGTCAATGCAGGAGCTGCTTTCTATGCCGAGCTTTGCTCAAAAGAAATTGGTAGCAAACTGAATTTGGCAGTAATTACTGACAGTCTCGTGCGCCACACAGTGTTCGAAGCAACCAAGGTTGCCTGTCTCTTGTGAATGTTCCAAAATGTCTGCGCGCAACAAGTATTTTGCATTGAAGTACCACTTCTTCAGGTCCAAATATCGGGAGTCGAAAGGCATCGTGGCAAGTACATCCGACTCTGAACAACGGGCTGACATTTTTACTAAGGGTTCATTCCTGGCTCAACAGTTTGCTGTCATTCGGAAGCCCCTCATTGGATGGTAATTTACCTCAGCACTTTGCTGGGGACCCTCTCCTATCGTTTCTTGCTCCAGCTTCAATCTCAGCTGTAAGGGAGTGCGTCGGGATACAGCTTACAATTCAGCTTTACAGCTTTTTACAATTAGCAGGCTTATTCTAGAAAATAATCAATAACTGCTCACACTTATTTGGAAATACAAACTTTACATCTCTTAGATCGTTAGATTAATCAGTACACAATGGTATTGTCGCAGAGATGTCCAAGCTGATCAGGGATCTAGACCGGGGACACTGAAAGATGCTCTCTGAATTGTACTCTGAATTGTACTCTGTACTCTTGGCTCCACTGTGAAGACAACAAAACTGAATGTGGTACTCTGTACTAGTCCGGTCCGGGTTGATGTTTGATTTGATTGCCCGGCCCGAGACCAGCCTCCGAAGCCATTGCTTCACCCCGCCGCACCAACCAAGCCACACAGCAACTCGATAGATACACCGCACGAGTGAAAGAGGCGAGGCGAAGCAGGTACGTGCAGTGCATTCGTTTCATCGATATCGACATGTTGATGAAACGAATGCGCTTTACGCTGGCTTCAGCAGAAAGATGGTTGGGCTCCACGACGATCTCCTCGCAGGCAACATTCCTACTGAGCTACGGTTGTACACCAGCCTAATCTTGCTCGTGGCATCCTCGCGTTGAAATACGCCGTAAACTCACTCCCTGTCCTTCAGGAATTGGGCGGGTCTACGCAACACACCGCCGCATCCGATGCGCTTCGGTGCGGCACTGCCCAGGATCTCACTCGCGAGGAAAGCAAGACATTGCTCCTGGCTAGTTAGGAATTAGTTGAGACTTGGGCCGGCACACGTTGCCCAAAGAGCCACTGAGCCCGTGTCATCCATGATTCACCATGGGCCTCTTCGCTCCCATCTGTTTGCTCTTTCTTTCGGTGCGCTGGCTGGTTCTGTGTACCGGATATGTCTGCCTCTGCCCCTGGATCGCCTTCCTCAAGATCACGGGCAGGACGGGCAGGAGCAGCATAGTTGTAGCCAAAGATGAGGTTCATTCGATCAAGAAAGGGCTGCACTTGCAACATCATTAATGTGAGCTCTGTAAGTTTGGCCCGAATCATATTGTTGCTGGCACTTGGCTTGCTTTTGTCATTTTCGAGAGACTTGATGAAAGCTTCAAGCTCTTGAGTGGGTTCATCTGCGTTCGAACATATCATTGCAGTAATATTCTGCACGTTGGCTTCCTTGGCGGTGCTCTTCTTTGTTTGAAGGAGCCGTTTCACCTCCATGACTTTGGGCAACAGGAGGGCAGCGATGCCATCCAGTGGCGGGCGGTCTGACTGTTTGCACAGCGTCCCATCAATCTTCCATGATAGATCCTCTGGCTTCTTTGCCTTTGCATCGTGGACAGTATCAACGAGAACAGTCAAGACAGCAACGGCGGGAATGGCTTGGATGACTGCAGAATCCATACTCTGCACCTGGTCACGTGTGACCCACTCTTTCTCTATCAACTGGAAGGTAGTCTGAATGCATTGATTGGCAAATCGGTCCCAATAAGCATTCGATAACATTCTGGATTCTCCTTTGGCAGCCTTTCTCGCGGATCGGCTGTTGGCCCTTCCTCGCTGTTTGCGTTGTTGGCGGTTGTCGCCGTTCTTGTGGGGATTGTCTTCACCAAGGCAGGCAAATGCAAGGAATCCACCCAGTGAGAAGAAATCCCACGAGTCTACATCATGAATGACATGGAATGGCTCGTAGATCCCAGCTAGGTATCCATATCGGAGGTAGACGGAAGTGACTCGGATCGAGAGCAAGGAGCCCCCCAAGACACCAAAGGCCGATGCGACTAGCGCGGCAACGGGAGTCAGAACCAACCCCGCAACATAGAACGCCCAACAACCCAGGCATTCTGCTGTTTCCTCTCGAGACATGTGTTCACACTGCGTCCTCCACCAGGACATTGTGCCAGGAATGAACTTGATGGCAAAAATCAGAATGGAACCGACAAGACAAGTCGGGATGGATAGTAGCAACAGGCCGCAGCACACCAGGAAATCCCATTGCCATTGAATGATGCTGTGTATCGGTAATCCATACGTTTGCCCTTGCCACCCCAGTGGGATTCCAGTGGGATGATCGTATTTCCCCAGGTACCGTTCGCCGACAAAGTCTTGGTGCGCCTGGTAGTAATCTCGGGTCATGTTGCCAAAATCACCCCAACGTTCAAAAGGGCTGTTGCTCTCAAATATGCTGATGGTTGTGGCAGATACAAAGTGGAAAAAACTAAAGAGGAGGGATGCAACGAACACCACGAGAGGAAATATGGTGTGGGCAAAAGGGAGCATGAGCAGTGCCAATATCTTGAGGTCCCATTGGAGTGTCACAGTGATGATTGTGATCTTCACGGATTGGAAAAAGTTGATGGGCAGCCGAAAGAGTGTAATGAGTAGGATAGCAATGGTAAATGGGATGAATGGCAAGGCACCCAGAGGAAGACCGGGAAGAAAGGAGCATATTGCCTTGAGCATCTCAACCATCCCCAGTGATGGCCCGTCGTCTGCCATGAAATCTCTGCAACTTTGAATGTAGACTCCAATATGAGAGTCTTCATCGAACATTACTGTTTTGGTTCCGTATCCACATGCTTTGGCATATTGATGTTTGAAGATCGTACGGGTCGTTCGGCTAATGTAATAGAGGTTTCCCACAGTTGCTGCAAAGAGGGTGGTTCCCAGGAGCCACAGAAGATGTGGAATCGGCACCAAGAGAAACACAAGGATTCGTAGGAATGGATCAAAGAATTGGCAGCGTTCGTAGCACTCCTCCGTGGTGGCAGCGACGTAGAATGTCTTGGCCATGTGCATGGGTAATCGAATCAATGTAATGGCGAACACGAGTACCGTCATGATGGTCCCGATGATAACGCCACTGACAGCGCCTAGTGCCAGCGATGCTATCGGCCAAATCATCCAATAGAGACATTGGCAAAGACCAGCGAAAAATTCTGTAATTGGGTTCATGGTGGGTATTTGTTTGATGAGGTCAGTCAGCTTCTGGTGGGAAGGAATACTGAATGAGTGTTGCGGGTTGTGGTTTGGTTGTTGTGAGGAGGGAGGCTCGAGTCGTGCTTTGATTCTTTGTTTGGCTTGTTTCTCCCTGAAGGTGGCTCAATTTTATTTAAAGGTCATGGTTGGTTGAGGTTAGAGCTATCCGGAAGCCGGTCCCCAACTCAAATGGAAATTCCTACTGGTACGTACGGTACCGTACGGTACCATCCTCTACAGGCCAAGGCTTTCCAGTTAGACCAGTTGGATTTTTTCAGAACCCCTTGAATTTACTTGGGGAGGTGTGGCCAATTCATCCCGAAGCTGTAGTGTGGGAGTTTGTTGCATGACACTGTGATTTGTTGGCTTTTCTGACTGAAGGAATTGACGAGCAGTGCTTCTTCAGCCCTCCAACCACGTCTTCTGATTTCATGATTTGTGATATGGTTCCTCCTCTCTGGTTCGTCCCCAACCATAGCATGGGTGGCGCTTTTGAGACACTCAGGGAGACGCGCAAAAATTATAAAGCAAGAGCAATGAAAATGTTTTATTAAAAGATGAGCTCACCACTATTCTCACGTTCTTGCATTCTGGTGGCCGTTTTGAATCCTGACTGATCTGCAGTGAACCAAGATGTCTGTGCTCACCCATAGTACTAAGAAGGGTCCCTCTCACTTCTTCAAAGGGTTTTGCTCACTCGCGCAAAAGAAAGGCTCCGTTGGCATTCCAGGTTGTGTAGGGCATGGCACAGGTCCAAGCATGGCCCATGTCTGTGATGCAATGACAAAGGCAAATGAAAAAGACATCATTGGTTGCTTCATAAAGCACCAGCCATGCGATAGACTGCAGCGTGAGAAATGGCAAGCAATGGGTATGGAATGGGGGAGCGCTTTCGTGGAGAACATGCTGCGGAAACACCATGCGCATCCACACAACGATATGGATCAACCCTGCGTAAACGTAGTAGATGGAGAATCCAATCAGGCATCCAAGCATCTCATCATTCTTGTTGTGCCATCCAAAGAGAGATTCCACATCAAGGTGACGACCAAGGTCGTACGCAAAGAGGAACGCAAACGTCTCCAAGACTCCATTCATAAGGGAATACATCACGATTGCCAGCCAATCAACTCGGCGACCAAAGCGTCCATAGCGAGGATTCAAAACCACTCTCACCATCAATGTAACGACCAATGTCATAATCTGGAAAGTTTCCACTGGCTGAGGCTTCGCAAGCAGATCGTAGTAGCCTTGGCCACGTCCAACGAGAGCGCAAACGGTCCAATAGGCCAGCATGACCAACCAACCAATCCTCATGTCTTTCTGGAAGGGAGGTACATTATCGTCTTTTCGATGCGTAGGCTTGAGAAGGGCCGTGTCGTCTGCCATCA